ATAGTAGTATTTGGTTTGCTTCAAATATATGGCTTAACTCATCTCAGGGTTTGGCTACCATAGTGATATCAGGGATGGGTTCCTTCCCATGGAGTGGGCCTTAAATCCAATCACATGGTAGTTGGCTACTCTCATGTATGTTTTTTTTTGTGTGTGTGTGTGTGTGTGTGCCACTGTTGCACAGTGTATTGTAGCATGAATTGTTAGGAGATCTTATTAATAAAAACAAATCTGGGGCCAGGTATTGGGGTGAATGCTGTAAGATCAGAGAAGCAGAACAAGCCACAGCTACCTCATTTTGCCAATTCCTCAGCTGATTCTGTTTCCTCAGACTGGAAGCTTCTGTAGCCTCATTCAAATGGATCTTAGCTGAACTGCTGCTCAATAGCCTAAAAGCTTAACCAGGTAAAAGCTTCTAGTTTCTGGTCTTCACGCCTTAAATACCTTTCTTCTTTCTGCCCTCACTTCCTGGGATTAAAGGCGTGATTCACCATGCCTGGCTATTTCCAGTGTGGCCTTGAACTCACAGAGATCCATGCCTCCAGAAGGCTAGGATTAAAGGTGTGAATGCCATCATTTTCTAGCCTCTGTATCTAGTGGCTGTTCTGTTCTCTGACCCCAGATAAGTTTATTAGCGTGCACAATACTTTGGGGAACACAATACCACCACAGTGTATCTTCACGCAGGCAGGTCACCATTGTAGATTGAAAGGTTTGTGTCTGGGTTGGTGTTTACTTCTCTCCTTTGTCAGCATACAGAGTACCTTTCACAACCATAAACACTAGTCCATAGGGATGGAGATGCTAGGTAGGCAATAACTCAGCTTCTCTGTGTTTAGTGAGTTGTGTAGGTGTTATCTTCAACATTAAGACCTTACAATCAGTTTCTGGAGAGAAACCAATAGGCTCAGTAATAGTCTACATTGTGTGGGGATTCTCATGAGGCCCCTTTGATCAACAATGTGATTATATGTAACCATTACCAGCATTGGGAGCTTCATTTGGTGATGAGAGATGGCCAGTTGGGGCTGTGTCTCCTTTGTTATTTGGCAACTTCATTTAGATAATCTTCATATGTGTACAAATTTTAGGAACTTTCTACTGTATTAGGTTTCCATACAACACTTCAAATAGCCCTCAGTTTTATCTATCACCCCCCTTATTCCCTACTTCATTCCCCATTTCCATATCTTTTCTCTTCTATCCATTACTCTTTAATCTGTTGCTCCTTCCCAGGGAAGGTACATATATACCTTACTGTATACCTAACCTCTGTTATGGATTTCAGCTAGCTTTTCAAAGACTTATATCTAATTTCCAAATATAAGCAGATTCATACCATATTTGTCTTTCTGGTTCTGTGTTACCTCACTCAGGATGATATTTTTTTTTCTACCTCTATCCATTTGCTTGTGAATTTCATTATTTTATTGACTAAGTTATATTCTATTGTGGAAAGATAACACATTTTATCTTTCTATTCATCTATTGACAGACAACTAGGTTGTTTCTAATTATGAATAGTACATCAGTGAATATGATTTAACAAGTGTCTCTGTAGTAGGATGTAGAGTTTGGGGGTTTATGCCCCAAAGCAATAAATTGGTTCTTGAGGTAGATCTATTACCAGCTTTTTGAGGAAAAACCACACTAACTTCCATTGTGGCAGTACAAATCAGAACTCCTACCAGCAATTCTCATTGGTGTTCCCCTTACTCTATATCCTCTCTAGCATGGGTTGTCATTTATTTTACTGATCTTGGCCAGTTTAACTTGTGTAAGATAATATTAATCCTCTATTGAATGTATAGTTGATAAAAAAAAAAAACTTTTCCCTTCTGTAGGCTACCACATTGTCTGAATGATATTGTCCTTTGCCAAATAGAAACTTTTCAGTATCATGAGGTGTCATGTATTAACTTTTGTTCTTAATTCCTGTTCCAAAAGTTGTCTCTTATACCAATTATTTCAATGTTATTCTTCACTTTCTCTTCTATCAGGTTCAGTGTATCTGGTCTTATGTTGAGGTCTTTGATCTATTTGGTGTTGAGTTTTATGGAGGATGATAGTATAGATCAATTTGCATTCTTCTACATGCAACTAGCCAGTTTGACTATCACCATTTGTTGAAGATTCTGTATTTGTTCCAGTGTGTAATTTCTGTATTCTCTTTCAAAATATGTATATGGACTCATGTCTGAACATCTAAATCAATTCCATGCTCTTTTTATTATTATAATTCTGAGCTGCAATTTAAAATTGGGGAGGTGATACTTCCAACAATTCTTTTATTGCTTAGGGTTGTTTTAGCTCTCCTTTTTTTGGTATTTACATATGAAGCTGCAAATTTTCAAGTTCTGTGAAGAATTGTGTTGGGAAATTGGTGGGGATTGTATTGCACTTGTAGATTGTTTTTGTTAGATTGTCATTGTTAGTATATAGTCTTAAGATCCATGAGCATGACAATAAATCATTTCTTCTTCTTATGTCTTCTTCAGTTTCTTTCTTCAATGTTTTAAAGTTTTAACCACACAAGTCCTTCACTTGCTTTGTTAAACCCCAGGTATCTTTTCTGTGTGTGACTGTTATGAAAGGTATTTTCCTGATTTCTTTCTCAGTCCATTTGTCACTCATATATTGGAAGACTACAAATGTTTTTGTGTTAATTTAATATACTATTAATTTTCTGAAATTGTTTATCAGCTATGGAGGTTTCCTTATATTTATATTGTGTCATCTGCAAATAAAGGCCTAAGTTTCTCATATTTTGTTGGCAAGGCTTATCTCTGAGGTTCTAGTTTTAGCTCCTGAATTTTGCATTTCCAGATTTCCCTGAGGTTTGGTTTTCTTCAGTAATTGTGTTTCCACTTTCATGTTTAATCTGTTTTGCCCATTTCATTCCACTGTTTTTTTTTTCATAGATTCAATTAGTAGATTTATTCATACTCTCTTTAAGAATCTTGAATATATTCATGGTAGCTATGTTGAATTATTTGTCTTGTGCTTCAGCTTTATTGTATTTCCCAGGACAAACTATACTGGGATTGCTGGGCTCTATGGGAGACATATTCTCCTGACTACTATTGATTATGTTTTTACACTAGCCTCTAAGCATCTGGGGTTAGGTAAATTGCAATTCTAGGTGCTGATATATGATCTTGTCTTTGTTGGATGAATGTTCCATTCCTTGGTTTCTGTTGCTTTCTCTGTTTCTTAGGAGAGTGTTGTGGCTATGGGTTACTGCCAGGTATGGAATGCTTCTGAGATCCTACCAGATGTGGCAACTGGGAGTCTAGGGTAGAGTGTGTTTGTAGGTATTGGGAACTGACACTAAGTATTGGGGATAGATTAGAATGTGTATGACTGAGAGGAGCCACAAGAGAGAAGAAAGCTGGTTGTGACATATAGCTAGAGTTTTCTTGGTCCTGCCTGGCCCATGGTCAGGACAAATCTCTCTCACCTGCTAGTCCCGCAGCTGCTCAGACCCAACCAAGTAAACACACAGAGACTTATATTACTTATAGACTGTATGGCTATGGCAGGCTTCTTGCTAACTGTTATTATATCTTAAATTAACCCATTTCTATAAATCTATACCTTGCCACGTGGCTCATAGCTTACCGGTATCTTAAGATCTTCTCAAGGCGGCAGCTGGCAGTCTCTCTGCCTCAGCCTTCTTGTTCCCAGAATTCTCTTCTCTGCTTTTTCTGCTTATATTTCCTGCCTGGCTACTGGCCAATCAGTATTTTATTTATACAGAGTGATATCCACAGCAGTGACATCAAGATCTGCATAGACACCTGGCAATTGGGGCAGAGAAGAAGAAGAGGCCACAGCAGGTGATCTTCTTACCAACAAAATTAAACCAAAATGAGGGATTGGAATTGGGGGACAGAAGGGAGAGTTTACTCAAGATAGCTTACTTGATTCCCTGGTTGGAATAGTCAGTGGTTTTCCATGGAGTGCCTACAGGATTTGAAAGATAAGAAAAAAGAATGGGGTGGTAGAGGAAGACTGTAGGAGAAGATCTTCATGATCCACTGGGAAAGGGAGCAGAGAGAAAGGGGAGTCTGCTGCAAATGATCTGCTCCAGAACTGAGTATAAGAGTGGAAAACTAAAATTGGAGAACATGGGGTGGTTTTTGGCTGTTGTGAGGTTATATGTTTTGTTTTGCTTACATTTTGTTTTCTGGAGCAGAGGTTTATAAACCTACAAACTTCTAAGTCCTAATTGACAAAGGAAATATTATGTTTTCTTTTCAACAGAGTTTTAGATCCACTGTACTGTTACTAAAATCTCTTGAGGTTTCTGAGAGAATGGGAAACATTTGTTTTTAAGATAGTAAAGTTCACTTAGAGACAGATGAAATTATGCAAAGGAAAAACATGGTGACTTTGGGTGTATGAATATTTAATAAGCAGAATAAAATTCAAAACACAGATTATACCTGATTCACTTAGTCATTCATCAGTTTCTTCAGATCATAGGTTTTCAGGAAAATACTCAAGCTGACTGGATACTCTACTGTGGCTGCTTAACTTAAAATCCAATCACGGATGACTATAGCTATAGAATGAAAAATTTATTTAAGGTGTATTTCAATCACAAGTCAGAGAGGGGTGTATTATTATGACACGTTAGTTAATAAGGATTAAACTATAATATTTATTCTCATTTTTTAGTAGCACTAAATGTCTGATACTTTGAGGACAAAACACAACGGGAATTTAGTGTATTTTGTAGTCTCTTTTATTTGTTCAAATATGTTTCCTGAGACTTAATTCATAGAACCATGGGAAACTAAGCTAGAGATAAAGGATAAATTTTTCCTACTGTTATAATGCATGGATTTGAAAAGATATATCTTCTATAGATTTTTCTATCTCAAATGAAATATAGAGTATGAAATAGGAATATCTAATATCTATATAGAAAAATAAAAGGAATATAGTTTCAAAATTCAAATCAAGCCTGGTTCACAATGCAAACCATGAGGAACAGAAATAGACAAAGCTATAGCTTAGGTTACAGAAGTGGCTGGAAAGTAAATAACTTATAATAATTCTGTCAACAGTGATTTGAGGAAAACTGTCCTACTAAGTTGTCCTTGTGCACATGGATATATCTAGAATAATTGATGTCTTATTAGCTGACACGTGTATGAAAATACCCATAAATCAAATTTCAACATAGAAATAAGGTTGAAGATAAAATTAACAGATATATCATAATATCATATAAACATTTAGATAAGTAGTGGAACAGTTGGATTCTGAAGGGTAAACAGTTGTCACACTACAAACAAAAGGAGAAAGGAACCACCATGTAGAATGAAGGGTATGATTATAGAAAACAAAATGCACAGTGTACTAGAATAATAAAAAATCATCTGATGAGCTAAGAATTGAATGTATGATGTGGAATTTCAGCTCTGGAATTCAATATGTGTTCAAGATCCTCTTAGATAGCTCTATATTGTCCATCATACTGCATTTCAACTGGTCTTTCAGTGTCAATCTCAAACTTTTAAATTCCAATTGATTCCATCAGTCCTCTCTTCTTTTGATTTGGGTCTTTTATTGATTGGTTGATTTAGAATATTTTTTCCTTAGAACCTTAACTTTCTAAGACATAAATCATACACAGTGCAAAGTTGAGGCTGAATCCTATTTGCTTGTCTCATAGTAGAAGAGAAAATGTTGTAAAGATGTACTGAGGGAAGATCATTAATTGCTTAAAATATGATGTCGAATGCTAAGTTAACAGAAAATGCTAAGTTCTATTTACTCAACACAAATGTTTTTGAAGGGTCAATTAAATTAAGAGTCATAAGTCTGTCAAATATTCTTTATATTTCTATTGAGACACAAAAACACTCATTAAATCCAATATCATAGATAATTATTTGTGTGAAACATAAAAGATAAAAATATATAGCATTATTGATGCTACGAGATAGTTGTATAAGGTGATTTGTTTGTTTATAGAGAAGACCTATGTAATGAGTGATTTATGATTGGCTGAAATACATGCAGAATTTTTGGCCATAAGTAAGTAGTACCTGTGTCCACAAATGTGGCTTGAAACAAGCAATGCAAAAATAAATGAATAAATAAATATTAAAATCTGAGCATTACAATTCATACCCATAATTGCAGCATTATTGTGGTAGAGGCATTAGTATGAGGAGTCCAAGGTCATCCATGACTGTATAAAAGAATTATAAGTCAGCCTGAGTCACATCAAACCCTTCACAAACAACAATGGTAGCCCCAACAATAAAAAAAAATGTATTTTAAGTGATGATAATTACAGAATAATATCATAGTGTCCTCAGGATTTCAAAATTTGGGACAACTGAGTTTACATATACTTAATCACAAAAATAATGATATGTTGTCTAATAACTGAGTAGCACTTTCCCATTACTAAGGTTATTATATATTTAAAACTCTACAGTAAAAATATTATACACACAGTTAAGTGTGGTTCTCACTGATTGTCAAGGAAACTTCTTTTTGCAGCAGATGAAGACCATTGCAGAAAACTATAATCAATCAAAATACAGAGTTGTGGAAACAACTCTGACACCTACAATTCAGGGCATATTGCAGAAGAGAAGGTGAAAAGATTTTTATGAGCCATTAAATCAAAGAGTTTGCTGTGTGACTGTGTCTCCTAGTAATGTTAAAAGTTGTACCCTTAAAGTATCACCAATATGACTGCCTAAACATGAGCTGAACAGGGATGAGAACAACAACAGACATGCTAAAATAGGCAAGAGGCAAATCCTAGGAGGCCTAACTCTAGGCAAAGAAGTACAGGCAACTAGGGAATGCTGAAAGCAGGAAAAATATATTCTTCCCCAGGAAAGAGCACACCAACTGGTCATCCAAAACCAAATGGTCAGCCCTGAAAATGTACACATATAAGTAATACTGTACAGAATAAGCAGGTAATATTAAGGAATATATGCGTATAAAATATGCATCATTAACAATTATTAAAATAAGGATTATGCTAATTGATGTAAATATTTTTTGAGGGTTTATGCTAAAATCAACTTTTAGCATCTGAAAACTGATTAAATAAGAATCCCACAATGCCAAATTGTGGGTAGTTCTTATGATGGTTAATCTGGATTGTCAACTTGCTCCAATTTAGAATTACTAAGGAAATTGCTGAGATGCTGCTTTGTATGTGCCTGTCAAGATGTTTGCAGCAAAGGTTAACAGAGTAAAGAGTCACTGAACATTTTCCATGGGCTAAGGGCCCTAGATAGAATACAAGAGGGAGAAGTAGCCCTCCCTCTCTCTAAACTTCCTTAACCATGTCTCTCCTGTTAAGATCAACTGAACTCTCTGAATCTATTATCCAAAATGAGTATTTTCTTCCTAATTACTTCTGTCATGTTTTGTGGCTATTATGAGACAAAATTTAACTATTACAGTTTTTCCTTAAATTATTTCTGTCAGGTATTGTGGCCACAGTGATACAAAATTTAACTATTACTATTATCCTTTGTTCCTTAAGCTGTCTCCATTAAATTGTGCTAGAATGTGACTAGTACTTTCCTTTGTGTGAATGCCATAATCATCACTGCCACACACTGGCTTCCCTAATGTGCATCTATCCACATTAATTTACTATGCCTTTCAAACTACTGTTTGAGAAGAAATTATTATTCTCCTTTTAAATATAAGGAACTTCAGCTTAATGATATTTCATTACATGCACAAAGGCATATTGCATATATTTAATCCTTGCTCACTCTGGTTAACCTTTTCACCTGTTAATATATTCTTTTGTGGGGAAATCAAGTTTTATTTGAACCCCATTTTAACTCAAAACCTTTGGGAATAAGAGAACAAGGACACAAATAAAAATAAGCCTGAACATGTATATATTTATGTGGAGAAATTATCTAAGCTTGAAGATTTAGAAGTCTCTTTTGGGCTATTAACTAACAATATTTATATGTAAATGCCTCCTGAATGCTCCCCCATGTTACCCATGTAACAAAAATTCTCTTTCACTCCCCTAGAACTTCCAGAACTCACTAAGGCTGGTCCAGGCAGCAAGCGTTGAAGTTTAAGCAGTATATGCTTCACAATAAGCCTGTGATTTTTCTCACTGAAGATATTGATGAGTAGTGAGGAAAACAGTTTGTATTTAATCCACCCCCATGCGAAAATTCTCATTAGACAAAACACATAGAGCCCTATCGGTACTGGATGTCACTCCAAGGATATACAGCTAGAAACAATATGGTAGTAAGCAAGGATGGGTTTATTCTTATTTTACCATTCTGGTACACACAGAGCAACTGCACTCACTCATTCCCAGCACATGACATACTTGCACACTACACACACACACACACACACACACACACACACACACACACACACACCAAAATGCAGCTGCATATTTTACCCTAATATTATTGGCTTTAGATTCTCTTTTTAATAAAGTAATAATATTAACCACATATATGGAAAATAAATATCAATGATAGAAATATGATTTGTATAAACAAGTAAAAGAGATTGCTCTTACAACACTTTAACATTTTATATAAATATAGGTATGTTTTATTTTTATCACCTAACACTCATTTTTTTAGAGGGGCCTTCAGAAGAACTCTCTAATGGGCTTGATGAGATTATTATAAAATTAGCAGGCCTATACAATAATCATCTAGGGTTATCACAAGGAAAAAAAACATGTCTAAAGAATCCCAAAACTACTGATCAGGGGATATTAATTATCCAAATACATATAATTACATGGTCTGGAGGGAGAAGCCTGAGTAGGGCAAAAATAAATGTTGATTCTTTCTGTAGGGTTTAAGTACTTTAATTGCACTGAAGCTCAGACTGTCTTCTCTCCAACTTTCATAGAATAGTTGCCATTGAATTAGTGAGAAAAATTCTGTAAGCTATCACTGAAATTCATTTTTTTATAAAAAAAACTAGTTCAATCTATGGCTGATTTTCTATGTCACTATGATTTGCAAACATGTTTTGGAAAGAAACAAAATGTAAGTCTGGACAATACTCACGACATTCACATTTTAATAGCACCCCTATACTAGTCCAGTTCCACTAGTCTAGAGATCATATGTATGGAAGCATTTGTTTGCTAGAGAATTTCTTTATTTAAGCTACCCTACAATAAGCTACTTCCTTTTTTGTAATTTTTTAAGAGTTTTTTAATTCATTTTACATACCAACCACAGATCCACCTATTTTCCCTCCTCCTGTCCCCCTCAGGCTTATCCCCCAACCCACGCCCCATTCCCTCCTCTAACAAGGTGAGGCCTCCTGTGGGGAGTCAGCAGAGTCTGGTATATTCAGTAGAAGCAGGTCCAAGCCCCTCCCCTTGCATCAAGGCTGTGCAAGGTGTCCCACAATAGGTAGTGGGCTACAGAAAGCCAGCTCATATACCAGGCATGGATCCTGATCCTATTGCCAGGGCTCCCTTAAGCAGATCAAGCTATACAACTGTCTTCCTTATGCAGAGGGCCTAGTCCAGACTACTTCTTAATGTAAGTTCTAGTGTAGAAATAATCTCCTTCCATCCATAAAACATGTTTGTTCTCCCCAAAGTCATTTATAATCAATGCTGTAGGAAAGGGCTTAGGACTTTCATTCTCCATGTATTCTTTTAGCTCTGTTGTCTATTTCCTTCTTTTGAAGTTTATATTAAATATTGTTTTATTAAGTTTGGTATAGCACCATTTCTTCAGTGCACTTACAAAAATATGTACCTCAAAGTATACTACTCAAGTGTGAATCATTCATGTCAGTTGATTTCTTGGTTCTCAAAACTATGCTAATTTCATAACTTAAACTAATTGTAATTTTAATAAATTTATTTATTTTATTTATTTTTTATACTTTTTGCAGTGTTGCATATATTCATGGGCATACTGGCCATATACACCACCTAAATCCTTACCAACAGTACCTTATCTTTTCAAGGAGAATACATTTTGGTAAAGAATC